GGATCTGTACAGAGCAGCCCTTGACTGACAGAACTAAGTTAAACCGGCACAGAGCGTCCCCCCGACACCCAGCCTGAGACACGGGCCAGCAGCGGCGGGCAGGGCCAGGCTGCACAAGTCGGGCGGAGGACAGGGGCGGCTGCACGGAGGCAGCTCCAGGGGGACTGCAAGGGGCTGGGCACCGTGGCTGTGGGTGTACAGGACAGAACAACCTGGGACCTCCATAAAACAGCAAGGTTGATGTGCTCTCGGAGGAAGGGTGCATACCCCCATCTCTGAAAACCCACGGAAACTTTTCAGGGGAAGAGGGGCGGGGCCCAGGCAGAGCCGCCATATTCTCCAGCGCTGAGCACCCAGGCGGAGGCAGAGGCGAAACCTGCGTTCGCACCGAAGGGCTTAGCAGCCTCAAGGGCCAGACTGAGATGGGCATACAGCCCAGAGCAGATAGGATCCTTCCATTCTGGTCCCCCAGAGAACTTGCTCCACAAAGACAAACAAGCAGCTGGGTCCTGGCTCGGAGCAGGGACGAGGCTGCCCCTCGGTCTTCCCCGAGCCCACCCGCGGAGCGCGACCAGGGCGGAGAGCCAACCAGGGTGGAGCACGACCAGGGTGGAGCGCTGACCAGGGTGGAGCGCCGACCAGGGCGGAGCGCCAGCCCGGAGCGCGCAGCCACACAAAGCAGAGGAGCTACTTGCGGCGCAGGCAGGGGGAGAGCGGCCCCACGCCTGTCGGGCAGGAACACAACCCCTGACCAAGGTGCTGGGAGAGGGCACGACCCGCCCTCCTGCCTGGCCAGTCTGCAACATCTGACTGCGGCATCCGGAGGGGCAGTGACCCGCCCGCCTGCAGCAGAGGAGAGCTGCATCTGACCCCGTGATACGAGGAGGCGCGATCTGCTTGCCCACAGGTGCTGGGAGCAGCACAGAAGAGGGCGCCAACAGAGGGCCTATGAAAACAAGCTGAGCTTCCATAACAGGACGAAGACAGAAGGACTTCACATTAAAAGCACACAGACTCCAGGAGAACACCGACAACCCCCTTTT